CTTTTGGCTTTCTGTCTCCCTGTGTCTGTCTTTCCAGCAAGTGCACATGCCTTATAGCAAAAATCTCTCTTTAAAAGGGGGGGAGTGACCAGCCCTGGCAATCCTCTTGGTCAATGTGACCAAGAGTTACAGTAAAGAATCCGTCTTAGACCGTACACTGGTGCAACAGTAACTCAAACAGATCGGTGTAGGAAGGTCCCTGGTTCATATCCCAAGGTCCCTCCAAGCTGGCTGAGGCCGGGGGGGTAGATCACAGCCTGAGTGTCCCACTGAGAGTGCCTGCTTCCCTCTGTCTCTCTCTCATAGAAGAAATTAATAAACTTAAAAAAAAAAAGTTTTCGGGACCAGTAGATGAGAAGATGGCATAATGGTTATATCACTAGACTCCCACATAGTCGACTGCAGTTGGAGTCCCAGAGCCAGTGGCTTAAAACTCACGCCAGACACATGTGCATGTGCGTGTACATGCCCAAAATCCTGAGAAGTGAATGAAGGAGAAAGGACTGGAGCATGGCCATTCTCCCCACCCCCAGGGGGTGACTTCCTGTTTTCTGTCTGTCTCTGTTTCTCTGCTGAGTGCACGCACCCTATAGCAAAAATTTTTCTTAAAAAAATTTTTTCATAACTTAGATCTTTATCTAAAAAAAAGTAAAGCTCAAATAAACAAACTACTACATCTGCCCATTATTTCTGCCTTAAACTAAATGTCCATGAAGTATCTTTGTTGTTTAAAAAAAAACTTAGCAGTAATAAAAAAAAAAAGACAAGGTGGGAACCAGCACTTAGCATAATGGCTATGTCATTGGACTCCCATGTAGTTGACTATGGTTCAAGTCCCAGACGCCCGCGCCCCCCCCCCTGCTTAAACTCATGCCGGGTGCATATGCGTGCATGCCAAAAGATCCTGAGAGAATAGAGAAGGGACTGCGGTGTGGCCATCCCCTCTGGGGGGTGATTTCTCACTTTCTCTCTCTCTGCTTCTCTCTTTTTTTTTTTTTTTTGGAGAGATTTTCACTGCCACGGCGCAATCCCTTCTCCTCCATTCTCCTCTCGGGATCTTGGGCACGCACATACACGCGCCCGGTGTGAGTTCTAAGCCACCGGGTCCGGGACACAAACCGTGGTCAACTACATGGGAGTCCAGCGACATAGCCAATACGCTAACTGCTGGTTCCCTGCTTCTCTCTGTCTTTATGGTGAGTGCACACGCTCTATTGCAAAAACCTCTCGGAAAAAAAATAAAAAGGCAAGGTTAAAGCATATCAGAAAATCTAGTCTTGAAAAGTCATTTAACTTGGGAACCAGCAGTTAGCGTAATGGCTATGTCGCTGGACTCCCACGTAGTCAACCGCGGTTCGCGTCCCGGACCCGGTGGCTTAAAACTCACAGCGGGCGCATGTGCGTGCGTGCCCAAGATCCCGAGAGGAGAATGGAGGAGAAGGGATTGCGGCGTGACCATCCCCCCTGGGGGGTGATTTCTCGCTTTCTGTCTCTAATGTCTCTCTGTGTCTGTCTGGTGAGCGCACATGCCCTATAGCGAAAATCTCTCCAAAAAAAAAAAAAGTCATTTAACTCAAAAGTAAAATGAACTGTGTGACATAACAGAGAATTGTGGGTTTTAACTCATGTTTCAAAAAATCTATGTGCATGTACTATTATATGTACCTCAGCTTTATTTTTAAAGATCTGAAAAAAAATTTTCTACAAATCAATCTCATTTTAACAGCTATATTATAGTCTATGCACTTCACTCATCTTCACTCGTCTTATTTAAGCCTGTAATATTATTTTTTATGCTATACAAAGTTTATCTCCCCTAAATTCTATATTCAGTAAAAGCCTTTTAGATTGAAAACCTTGGGACCAGCAGCTGGCGTAATGGCTATGTCACTGGAATCCTATGTAGTTGACCACAGTTCAAGTCCCAGATCTGGTAGCTTAAACTCAAACCGGAAGCTTGTGCATGCGTGCCCAAGATCCTGAGAGGAGAATGGAGGAGAAGGGATTGTGGCGTGGCCATTCCCCTGGAGGGTGATTTCTCGCTTTCTGTCTCTGTCTTTCCGGAGAATGCACATGCCCTATAGTGAAAACTTCTCAAAAAAAAGAAGGGAGGCAGGGCCAGCAGATGGCATAGTGGTTATGTCACTGAACTCCCACAAGTCTAACTACAGTTCGAGTCCCAGACCCAGAGGCTTAAAATCACACCAGGCACATGTGTGTCCATGCCCAAGATCCCAGGAGGAGAATGGAGGAGAAGGGATTACCTGTGGGTATCCTCCCTTGTGGGTGATTTATCACTTTACCTCTACCTTTCTCTGTCTCTCACTCTGGTGAGCATACATACCCTAAAGCAAAAACTTCTAAAAAAAAAAAAAATGGTGGGGGGGGGCAAAGGGGAAAGGGAATTTTCAAACTGAAGTCGACAGGGGACAATCACCAACAGGGATGCTGCTATATCACAGACAGATCACTCAGCAGTGCGTCACTAGTTCACTCCTGATCTTTTCCTCAAACTCCCACTATTTTCCATTGACTTTATAACTTAGAGAGCTCTGGTCTCATGCAACTTGGGCATTTGAGTCAAAGCAGTCTCCCAAATCCAATTTACCAAGCTCTGCCCCCTAATACCACTAGCAGCCTCCCCCACCTATCTCACTACGCCCCCACTCAGTCCAATACAGGAAGGAAACATTTCACTCCTACAAAATGAGAAACACTGGGCCAGCAGGTGATCTGACAGAGTGCTGGACTCCCACATGGCCAGCCATGGTTTGAGTCCCAGACCTGGAGACTTGCTTTCTCTCTTCTCTTCTCTTCTCTTCTCTTCTCTTCTCTTCTCTTTTCTTTTCTTTTCTTTTCTCTCTCTCTCTCTCTCTCTCTCAGCATACTCAACAGCAAATTTTTTTAAATAATAAGTAGGGGCCAGCAGGTGGCGTGGTGGTTAAAGGCGCTGGATTCCCACATGGCTGACCACAGTTTGAGTCGTGGATCTGGTGGCTTGCTTTCTCGCTTTCCCTTTCTCTCTTTCTCTCTCTCTCTCTCTGGTCAAATTGAACAAAACTAATAACAAATGGAATTAAGTAAACATTTCTTTTAAAATATTAAAATTAAAATTAAAAAGATTTTTTTTAAAGAAAAAGGAAAATGAGAAATACTGTTGTGTTCAAGATAACGAAATATATGTAAGGAAAAAAATATACTGTCCTTGGTTTGTTTCATTTCAGACTTTTGTTGGGAGAAGACAGCTTTCTCAACTACTGATTTGGCATTAACTAACAAATATAAATGACAAAATAAATCTGCTTAATGATTTCACTGTCGTAAAACCACAAATACCACTCTAAAAAGACAACACTGTCAGTGTGCGTCCTGTCTGTACTTTCCGCACACGCGGCGAGAGCTGGGCTCCAGGTGTCCAGTCTGAGAGCGGAGTCAGGCTGCCTCTGTTGAGTCACACAGGACCGGACGCCCATCCGCAGGTCTAATGTGATAAACACTGTGCCCAACCTGTAACAGATTTCCTCCAGTACCTATCCTACCTTGGTCCCAACAGTACTGAGGAAAAGTCCAAAAGAACAGCCCCCAACAGGGTCAGCTGGTGGCTGGGCGATTGGGGGGTGGGGGGGCTGGATCACACAGGGCCGACAGCACATTCTGAGCCAGGGCCCAGCAGTTTGAAAAAGCAGCCGGGGACATGTGTGTACATGCTCAAAATCCTGAAAGGAGACAGAAATGGAGCAGAAGGGATTGCGGAGTAACAAGTCCCCACAGGGTTGCTTGCTTTCTCCCTGTCTCTCCTGCAAGCGCTGTCCTCTGGCAACAACAAAAAAGAACTTTTTAAAGAGAACGGCACTACGCTCTTAATTATACCAAGCCAACCAAAACAATGAACTACATGTCGAGTTTTCTAATATCCTAAAACTGTCCTCTGATGCAAACCTTCTCCTGTGGGGCTAGCCCACAGTGCGGCCACAGGGTGAGCCACTTCAGGAGGCTGCCCTGCAGGGAGCGTGGCAAGCTCACATCTGCAGACATCCCTGGGTGGCTGACAAGTGTGTGCTACATGCCGTGATCTGGAGCTGCCTGAGGCTGGGGGTAAACCACTGAATCAGGACTCTATAGGGGATGCTGTCTCTCTACCTAGCTCTAATTTATCGAAGAAATAAATAAGCGTAAAAGAAACCACAACTATACCCTACTCAGCATGTAAGTGCTTAAAGTACTACTCAATGGTGGATCTGGGGCCAGTGGTTAACACTCTGCTCAAGGGAAGCTGGGGGCCAGCAGGTGGCGTGGTGGTTAAGGCTGGATCCCAAGTGGCCTACTCTGCAGTTGAGTTCCAAACCCCCTAAATCCTGAAAGGAGAATGGGAAAGAGACTGCGGTGAGGCTATATGCTGGGACAGGGGACAGACACACACACACACACGTCCCTCACTGTCCCTCTCTCCGTCAAGCATACTTATATACCCTATGACAAAATCCTAATTTTTTTTTAAAGAGAGAAGCCAGATTCCACATGGTGACAGTAGTTTAAATCCCCAGTCCAGTTAACCTATAACACATCAGGCACACACTCAACTGCCCAAGATCCAACAGGCTGGAAGATAAGGAAGGGATGGCTGTGACCAGGCCCTGTGGGGGTGCTCGTCTCTGTCTCTTGCTCTCACTCTTAGTCTCACATGCACACACACTATGATACATAAAAGAAAAAAGTTTTTAAAAAAGGTACTAGACAAGACGTATTTTAAGCAGCAGAATCTCAAACCAAGGACATTGAAAATGTTCCTTCAGTCTCGCATCTGTATCACGTACAAATGGTTGCCCACAGCTGTAAGTTGTCTTCTTCACCCTCACAGAGAGAAGTAATACTACCTCCCAGTTGAGGTGTGGGAGGAAAGTGCCTTTACACAATAAACACACACGCTCAAAGACTCCTGCATTTTAACAAAGCACTAGTGCTTTGCCTTCAGAAGGAACTTCCAAATTAAATACACCTACCCTGGGACTCTCCACTCTTGGACACTAGGAAACGAGGATAGCTACAAGCAGGAATTTTACAACGTGAGGACTTATTTGGGCAGCAGTCATAACATCATCCATCGAGTTATTCCGTGTCTGCTAACAGTAAAGAGACAAGAGTAACCTGTGGGAGGGTACTTTAAACAGGGAGCACTTCAAAGTTCCCTCCAACATCCTGAAATCTCCTTCCACCTTTCCATACGCCTTCAGTGTTCATGTACCAAATACTTCAAGATAAAAGTGCAGCCAAAAAGCTCGTTTGGTATTTGCTGCTTTTTAAAGTTACAAGAAAAAACAAGGCTTTCAATACCCTTCCTAAAACAGAGAAGCCCCAAGCCCATGCCCTCCCTGCCACCTACCTCCGTAATCTGCATCCTGTTTTCCACCAGGAGGCCCCCAAATCAGAACAGCAGATCTACAGTTTGTTTTCAAGCATGTTCACAAGAACTCTCTCACAGAAACCATCCACTTTAATGGGACTCTAAAACCTGCAGCCAGAAGCCAGTGATTGGCAGGGTAATAACTAGCTGAACGCAGGAAGTGTTAGGACAGTGAGCGAGCAGGGCTCGCGTCAGTTCTGCCTCACAGGTATGTTTAGCTACTGCAGTCAGCAATGTCCAAATATAAACGTGAAACTTTTAATGGCCACTTCTGGTCTAGCTTTCAAGCTCATCCTACCTTTTTAAAACAAAGCTTTTAATCTAAAGTTCTGCACAAATATTTTGTTTTAGAAAATACATTCCCTAGAGTAGGCAAGGGGAAAAAAGCGTTAGAAATAAATTTCACTTAACTACAAAAAGCAATAAAATGTGTTCCCCCCCAAAAAAAAGGAAAGGAAAGAAAAATCAAAAATATTTTAGCACATCTCTATCTTCACACAAGTTAAAGTGAAGGAAATTCCACAACATAATGGAAAAATACACAATAGTCAGGCTAGGCATTACACTCCACAGGCGTTGCCTGGACTTTAGGAACGCAGCCGTAATACCGTGTTGATTTAGAAGTAAAGAACTCTCCTGGTTGGTTAAATTTAATTTATCGCTAAGTAGCATGGAGGCGTAAGACAATAGAACCAAGAACGCGATTCTGAAGAAGGCCGGTTACACTTTGTTTACTTAAAGCCAGAAGCTTCGCCGTGACCTCCCCAACTCCTCAGTGCTCACCGTACAAAATTAGCTCTGCCCTGCGGGCGCCGGCACCAGCCAGACTACCAACCCCGACCCCGGGGACCGGCCGGGCTCCCGACGGTGCTAGTCGGAGAGCAGCCTTCGTCAGTGCCCCGGAAGTTCTCGTCAACAGTGGCACCAGAGCGGCTCTCTAAACAACTTCTAAGGCGCCAGAAGTGAAAACCTGGAAATTAACCGGCCTGCCCCACGGCTCGCGCTTCGGGAGCGACAGCGGGCAGCAGGAGCTGGGGGCGAGGTCCGGCGGCGGGTGGGGGTGCGCCCCGGGCGGGCCTG